GTTCCCCTCCCCGGGGAGCCGTCCCCTGCCCCCGCTTGCCTTGGGCGCCCGGTGGTTGGGATTTGAGGGGGGGTTGAGGGGGTCCTGTCTAGCGGTGAGCTGTGGGGGTGTGCCGGGGAGGTGCTGCAGGGTGTGACAATTAAAACTGTGTAAGCAGCGAGACAAGGCTGACACGTGCAGGTAGGTATAACCCGGCCTTGGCCCCCTGGGAGTACCATGGGGGGTGTGTGTGTAAAACTATACTTAGTAGCCAGAAATATTTTTTTTTTTTTTTTTTTTTTTTTTTGTAAATATGACCCTAGTTTAGCCTCAGGGTTTAGGGAGGGGGAGTCAGGTAGTAATGGAGTTTCTATTTTGGGTATGAGGAGCGGATGTTACTGGTGTTAGAGCGTGCTGCCAATGCGTCCCCTCAATAAGGGAATATGCTTCTAAGCCTTTTTTTTTTTTTTAATACCACAGATGTGTGTCTATTTTTACAAATTTTCGGAAACACAAGCAAGGCTGATTGTAGAGTAGCAGCCTTTTTGAGGTAATAGTGAAATACTGCTCTTCAAAATCCAGTGCTTGCGGCCACAGTGATAATATGCTGCAGATTTTTATTACCGTGAGAGAAAGCACTGCGGTAAAGTTTAATTCTGTACTGATATATCTGTTCCTTCGGTGCAATATACAGGCAGAGTCCTAAGCACTGAGAAAATCCGTGTGCATTGATAGATGCCTTTGATGTGAATAAGACATTCCCAGTAAATGATTCACCAGATGGCACATCAAAGGAAGTTACTCAAATTGCATTTCAGAGCTTCAGCTAATCTCTAAAGCATGTGGGCTACCATCCAGGCTGCAACATTTTGTGTGTTAGTTGTCCTGTATTACCTTGTCTAAACATGGTGATTTCCCCTTCTTTTGTCATCAAGCAGTACCAAAACCCAGGAGGGAGGTCAGGAGGGAATAGTTCCGAACCGTGCTTGCCTCCAAATTTGGGGCTCCTGACTGTTTCTTTGAAGGAGGCCAACATTGGCAGGACCAGATGTATGGGCATGACCCTGTTTTTGTCCCCATTTTCTTTGCTGTTGTCCTCTGTTGTCCATTATCTCTCTCTGTTCACCCACTGCCTTTCTACCTTCTCCTCCACTTCAGAGGAAGGTACTCGGTGCTGATGCTCAAAGATGCAGATGAATGCTACACAAGCGAGGTAAACTTAGCCTGGTGGGATGCTACCTGAGGCTCCATCCACATTTAGAAGAGCTGACACCCACTCGCCCCCTCCAGCTGATAATAGCGGGAGCCCTGATGGTCTTGGGAACAGAAAATGTTGATGGCTTTGAAGGGGCCCATTGATCTGCAGCCTAAGATACGTGGTTTTGGTCTGTTAGATCTGAAATCCAGCAACCATCTAGCCCCAGCAATTACTCTTTCAAGATTTCTCGGGGTTTACTTGCACTCTAAATATTTGGTTTGCTGGATTGGGATCCAACTCCCCCTCTCTTCAGTTATCTACTCCTGGTGCTCCCATTTGGATGTGCAGTTCAGTCGGTCCCTCAGCATTTGAAGAGGAACAGCCTGCCTTTGATATATCAGTAAGTGTGCATTTTACAGTGCAGGATGTACATCAACCATTACATGTCTGAGCTTCGTCCCCTGTGATTTAAATCTGGAGTGGGTAGAATCTAGCAATATCACTTACACAAAGCCCAAATTTACACAGCTATAATGTATGACTAATCTCTGAAATTTTGCCAGGTGCTGGGGAGGCATTATCCAGTTTATTTGTATGCATCCCTCTCTCTCTCTCAAGATCTCTTTAAACACTTTGCAATAAGATTCCCAAAAGGATAAAAGTTACTTAAATGAAACCAGCGTGTACCAGCCTGCCTGGTGCTGCAAGGAAGGTGGAATATTCAGAATATTCAGCTTTTTTTTCAGGTAGTGAGCTGTATCTGCCGTACTGGGTCCCGTAGCTGCCTATTTGGGGTGGAGGCTGATTCTCTGACCTCTTCCTATTTTGAGGGTTCCTACAAGCTTAGAAATCATATTTCAAAAGTGAAGTAAATTTTGTTTGGCTGATAATTCCACTTTACTGAAGGCGGCTAGAAAAGGGAGTTTTACATACTTGGTTTGCTTTTCAAGAGTTACCCTAGTTGTTTATCTTATGATTTTTTTTTCTCACCCTAGACACGGAAAATAGGTGAGTCAGTTTTGTTTTCACTTGCAGCCACTTTCCCCTTCAGGCTTGCGGTGCTGACATGTTTGTGGGGGCCTTTTTCATGTGGCGTAGAACGGGATTCACTATGCATTCAGCAGCCTCTGATTTCCTGTGTTTTGTTTACTGGTTTGCTTTGAAAAGGGGCGTCAGAAATTTTTGTCTCTCCCCTTCATGCCTGCCCACGCTCCCCACCCAGGTCTTCGTTGTGTGACCTAGCTGGTTTGTAGGAGAGGTGAATCTGCACAGAGTTTCTGCTGGGGAAGTTTTACTGAACTATATCTGGGTATATAAAGACAGATGCACACAACTGCACATCCGTTACCACTGCATACAGATGGGATTGCGAGTTTGGCGCTGGCAAGTAGCACAGTCCCCCGTTCCGCTGGAAAAGCTGTGCCCGAAATAGGTGTGCCTACTCGGCTCAGTTAATTTGTATGCTGGGAAGTGCCGTGTTTTGCTTGGTGTTTCAGCGTGAACCACAAATGCACACGATAATTGGAGTTGCTGAAACTTACCTGCATTTAATATTTACCATCTCCTTTCCCTGTTTATTGAGAGGAAATAGCAAGCGAGTAGTAAAATCTAAGGAAAGACCTTCGAAACTTGAAAGAAGTATTTTAGTGGCTCACGCTGGCGGCCTTTCGAAATCTTCCACAGTGTAGGAGCACCTCTGGCAGAGCAGCGCTGGGACCTTGAGGTCTGGTACTCAGGGACAAGTAACAGCCACTGAAGAGGTTCAGGACATTGCTGTTGGCAGCGAGGGACGAGCCTAGCGTGGCTCTCCAGCTGGGCCAGGGTGTTTTATGTGGCTGCAACAAACTGGCCTGGCGTACAGCAGCTGTGTGCAACACGTGAGTTCCCGTTCAGGTATTGATTGTGGGATTAGCTACCAGATATATGCACTGAAAGAAGACAGAACAGAGCAGAGAGGTGGACGGCAATTGCTGTTCCTAGAGCTCTTCCAAAATGAGACGCAATCTGCAGCAGAAAGGGGGTCATTTGGTTTTGGAAGAAGCTGCCCAACTCAAAAAAAAAAAAAGAGACTGAAAGACAGTGAAAAACTATGTCAGAATATCTTTAAAGAAAGATTTCTCCTTACAGCAAAGCCTTTCCCTCATTGGGACTTATTAAAATACAGATATTTTCTCCAAAGGAAAGAAAAGTGCAAAGCACGCCATCAAAGCAGAATCTCAAGCTATTTCATTCTGATAGTGTTCTTTCTGCAACAGACACCGGATGGTAAGGAACATCGCTTTTAAAAGTTCATACCACATGCCTTCCACGTTTGAGGAATTACGTGTGAAATAAATCATATTGATTTCCCAACTGAAAAAAGTGCCCAAAAAGGCCACGAAAAGACTGAGAATTGCCATCTATAACTAATTAGCTGCTTTGGTGCCTACTCCTATGCGCTGGGGTTTTAAAAGTTTTTAATTTACATAAGCAGAGACATAAAAAGAACAGTGTTAAGCTGTGGTGGCAAATTCATTCCTCTGCTATATCCAAGCATGTGAGAGAGCAGTCCCAAGCCCTGTGGGAAACCGCGGGGCTGTGCTTTCCCTTCCCCTGTTCTGCTGCATCCCTGATATCTGTCCCGGAGGCAGTGGGGACTCGGCTTTTTGCAATACCTTTTGTCAAGAAGGTGAGAGCCAGTTGCCTTTAAAGCAAAGGTATTCCCTTCTGGAGTTTGCACTTGGCTTTGCATAGGCATTATCAGCATCACAGGGAATGCACAGCAAGTGGCCGTGTTCAGGGGATGTATAATTTTTCACCCCTGTTTAAAGATCTCTTGTGCAATGGAAGATTATGTCAGGGTGTATTTATCTGCTTGCAAATGCCAAGTAGGAAATTCTCTGGTGCATCTATATTAAAGATGCACCCTTGTCATACGGAACATGCTGAGGAAGAGAGAATGGCATTTCTGCAGAAGGGAAAAAGTATGGCAAGACTGTTTCACCTCTTTTATGGACAAAAGATCCACTAAAGGCCAGGTGATAGCAGCTCATATCAGAGTTGTCAGGAATCTGCCTTTAAAGTATAGCCTAACTCCACAAAACATGAAAACAAAGCAGAACAAGCCAACAACCAACACTG